AGATAAGGACGGAGATGTTTGATAGGAAGAGGAGTAAACTACACCAGAGCACCCGCCAAACACCCGGGCCACCACTGTCAGGTAATAAAGTCCAAAGGAGCTATATAGGCCTACTATAGGCCAATTATTTGGTGAACATCGTGGCTGTATGAGAATCTCGTAGCCACAGGGCTATGCTCTCACAGTAAAGTGCAACAATCTTTCAGTTTTAGTAGATCCAGGTGTTTTACGGCACTTGCAACACAATGAAATAAGGCCATATAGGCCTAGGTTTTAGATATAAGTGCCGAAGATTAGAGGTGTTATAAGAGAGTAACAACAAACACAAAAAGGGAGGAGAGATCAGGAGGACAGATCTAGATATCTAGAATCTAGATCTAGAGTAGATATCTTGATTTCTAGATCCTAGATGTTTGCTAGGAAAGAAGGAAGAAACCACACCAGACCACCCACCAGACCACCCACCAACAGACTACAACTTACCGTCAACGGCAACGTCAGCAGGAGTCACTTCTTTTTGCTCCTCTTTTGGAGGCTCTGGAGAGGAAAGAGGAAGGAGCTTTTCAAATAGATCTACAGCTAGTACAGCTTCTTCACATTTCTTTTTCTTTCATTTTTTTGTGGGGGGGGGGGGGAGTCTAGACTAGATTTAGATCTAACAGTTTAACGGCACTTGCAACGCAATAAGTTCATATAGCCTAAGTGCCGAAGATTAGGTGTTACAAGAGAGTAACAAACACAAAAAAGGAGAGAGAAGGACGGGCGACAGATGTTTGATGATAGGAAAGAAGGAGCAAACCACACCAGAGCTTTGCAACTTTGCAAGATAAAAGTGATTTAAAACATGGGTTTCTACATCTTTCTTTCCACTCCTTACACAAGAGGATATGTCGGTAAAGGGATGTGACCGTCTACAAAAAAAGAAAAAAAATGCAATAATTGAGTTTATACATCATATTTCCACTCCTCAGACCACGAGGAGATTGGTCTTATAGATGTAACTCAATACAACGATCAAACACAAAATGGGAATAGACATCGGCTTTCCTCTTGGAAAATAAAAGGATGGTGATCTGAAGATATAACTTCAAATTGTATGGATTGAATTGTCTAATTTAACGTATTCATACAAGGTATCTGATCCCATACAATCAGCGGATTCCAAGTAGTGTCCTTTTAGACATTTTGATTTATAATAATATTACTGCATTTACTATTTTAATATTATTTCATTATTTTACTCAAATCAGTTCTATTGTTAGTACTATTGTTCTTGATATTGCTGTTATGACTCTTCTACTCCCTCTCCTTCTCCCCCTCCTCCGCCTCCTCCTCCTCCTTCTTCTCATTATCAATATTTGTATTATGATAATCACTATTTATTTATTTATCATTTATTTTTAAAGAGTTTTACAACACTTGCAACGCAATAAGGTGATATAAGTGCCGAAGAATAGATGTGTTACAAGAGAGTAACATACACAAAAAAGAAGGGGAGAGATAAGGACGGAGATGTTTGATAGGAAGGGGATCAAACTACACCAGAGCACCCGCCAAACACCCGGGCCACCACTGTCAGGTAATAAAGTCCAAAGGAGCTATATAGGCCTACTATAGGCCAATTATTTGGTGAACATCGTGGCTGTATGAGAATCTCGTAGCCACAGGGCTATGCTCTCACAGTAAAGTGCAACAATCTTTTAGTTTTAGTAGATCCAGGTGTTTTACGGCACTTGCAACACAATGAAATAAGGCCATATAGGCCTAGGTTTTAGATATAAGTGCCGAAGATTAGAGGTGTTATAAGAGAGTAACAACAAACACAAAAAGGGAGGAGAGATCAGGAGGACAGATCTAGATATCTAGAATCTAGATCTAGAGTAGATATCTTGATTTCTAGATCCTAGATGTTTGCTAGGAAAGAAGGAAGAAACCACACCAGACCACCCACCAGACCACCCATCAACAGACTACTACTTACGGTCAACGGCAACGTCAGCAGGAGTCACTTCTTTTTGCTCCTCTTTTGGGGGCTCTGGAGAGGAAAGAGGAAGGAGCTTTTCAAATAGATCTACAGCTAGTACAGCTTCTTCACATTTCTTTTTCTTTCATTTTTTTGTGGGGGGGGGGGAGTCTAGACTAGATTTAGATCTAACAGTTTAACGGCACTTGCAACGCAATAAGTTCATATAGCCTAAGTGACGAAGATTAGGTGTTACAAGAGAGTAACAAACACAAAAAAGGAGAGATAAGGACGGGCGACAGATGTTTGATGATAGGAAAGATGAAAGTGATTTTAAAACATGGGTCTCTACATCTTTCTTTCCATTCCTTACACAAGAGGATGTCGGTAAAGAGATGTGATCGTCTACAAAAAGAAGGGAAAAATGCAATAATTGAGTTTATACATCATATTTCCACTCCTCAGACCACGAGGAGATGTGGCCCTTATGAAAGTGGCTATTCTCACCCGCCCGGAAGTTCTCGCAAGATCAACTCCTCCCCTCTTCTCTCTCTCTGTCTCTTTCTGAATACTGTCTATCGGTGTGGACGATCAAATTGACCCCAAAAAAGTTCGTGAGAGAAAGAAAGAGATGAACAAATTTACACAAAGGGAATGGTTGTGACAAAAATGAGTAGGATAATAGTGTGTGTGCGCAGGTG